ATTGGGGGGGGGCATTGGGGGGAAATTTGGCGAAATTTGTGGAAATTGGGGGGAAATTTGGGGGAGATTGGGTGGAAATTTGGGGGAATTGACGGGACATTGGGGGGAAGTTGAGGGAAAGTTCGGGGAACTTGGGGGGGTAAAGAGTTATTGCTACAGGCAAGGCTTAACTCATCTGCATTCCCTCTGCAAGTCACGCAAAGAAGGTGGTCAAGGAAGTCGAAAAACACTGTGGTTTTCAGTGGTTTCAGCAAAGGGAAAGCACAAAACACCATGTTTTGCTTTCGATGTTTTCAGTAAAAGGAAGCGCAAAACCTGAGCCGACAGAGAGAGGCGGCAGGGGGATTCGAGCCTGGGACCCCTGTTTCCAGACCCGCTCCCCGAAAACTATTTTTATCAGACCGTCATCAAATTGCCGCGCGGTACGTGAGGGGGGGGGGGACGAAACCTGCGTAATTGACGTGTGGATCCTTTGTCCTCTCTTAGGTATCCGACACAAGAAAAGCGGCCCAGCTGCAAACAAACTTTCAGACGTGCTGGGCCGCGTTGTAGCCATCCAAAACCCAAGTGATGAGCTTCCATACATTTCCTGTCCACGTACTTCCACTGGTGGATTCAGACTCCAGGTCACATCGCTGGATCTTCCAGGCGCGGCTCCGAATTGCGGGGGTCGGTTAGTCGAGGCGTCATGGGTCCACACATGGCCCTTTCCGCGCGAATCATCAGATTTACTCCATGTAATAGGCACCTCGGATGAATCAATTTCAGTTGAATCGGCACACCTGGGGAAATGTGGGGAAGTATCAGTATAGACATATACCGATTGTTGGCCTGGAGTGAATTTGTGTTGACCTCAGATCTTGACGCGTGGCCGGACATTTGCATGCGGCAAGAGTCTGCTCCGAGGTGTGCTGGAGGGGCTCAGCGATGGACTAGGCGGGACACAGTCAGGGGCGTACTCGCTCGCTTTCTCGCTATCTCGCTATCTCGCTCTCTCTCTCTCTCTCTCTCTCTCTCTCTCTCTCTCTCTCACTCTACGTGCGTGTCAGAGTTCCTTAAATTTCCTGACCGTTGAAAAAACTATTCACCCTCAAGTGGTGTGTGGTTTGGGTGCCTAATATAATGCTTTGTGTGCGTGTAGGTGAATTGGTTGCTTGAAGCGGGGACTGGCCAACATGGAGCGCCAGCCAAACCAGACTGGTCCCTTTCAAGGATCTTGACACGTTTGCCCCTGGCACATCCACTGAACCAGGGCGTTTCTGGAGCAACTTTGGGCGTTTGGTTGTTTTCCCAAAGCCAATGGCTAGCCGATCTGATGGCGTTATGGTCAAAATACAGTGGTTTTGCAACCTCACCCAAGTTCCTTTCCAGGCCCCAAGTCTTTGAATCATGAGGTTCCCGCGCGTTGTGAGCCTGGATGCCTGAGAGCACATTCTGAAGAAAACCTCCCTTGCGGTTTGCTGGGATCGCGAGAGACGTGGCCTACCCCACTAATTGCTTCATCATGCTCTTACGGACCCCTTTCCTGGCACGCACTCAAAGCCGCTTTCGGTTTAAGATGCAAGTAAGGTCGCAGCAGTATCGGCTGTTGCAAACTGTCCCAAGAGAAGGTTAAGATAGGAACAAGCAGTTGGTTGGTTGGCCGTGTCCTTTCGCTGGTACTTGTGTGGCAAGCGCTAAGCAAGGTGGGTGTGCCCGCTTTTTGGATGGTGTTTTGTGGTTTGGATTTCTTCTGCAAGGATGTTTGGCGGGTTGGGAAGGGGAGACAATGGTTTCGGGTCTCGATATCGGTGCTTAGGCAACGTGCTGAATATGCTGCAGCAGTGCTGCACCGAGCAGCAGCAGCTGAAGGAGACGTTTGGGCTGACTAGATCGCCCTTGTTCCCTTGGTGTTTCCCCACTCAAACCAACAAAGCCCCCTGTTTCTACCAGCATCACTGGAAAAAAATGCACAGGCAACCCTGCGTTTGGCTGCGGATTCGTTGCTCCACTAGTTGCTGTGCAACTAGATTGGACCGCCTGCCCCCGTTTGCTTTTTGCTGCTTGAAGGGAAGCAATGCGTAAATCATTCATCGTGGACTGAAGGAGTATTGACTTGCCGGAAATGCAGCCCCTCTGTGCTCAAGAATCAGGCAGCTAGGATTGGTCCCTCGTTTGTTGAGAAAACAACGCTTCAGGGTGGAAGGGTTGCAGAAAAGGTTTTCGACTGGACTGGGGAGGGTTGTTTTGTCAAGTGTTGGGGGTTGTTTGAGAACGACAAAGGTCCTTGTGTCCGCTGAAGCAGAATTTGCTCCCCCCTTCGGCAGCCCCCGTTGAAGGCAAGGTCAACTTGCACCACAAAGTGTGTGCAGAAGGTAATGCTGGCCTTTGGGGTGCTATGTTCCTCCTTTTGGATGGTTGTGTCGCATCATCAGGTTTTGCTTGCCAATCTTATGCGTTACGTGTGGGCGGGGTGCAACCGCATGGTTGCATGCAGAATCTGGCGATCGTCCACCGAGAC